GTCACTGTCATTGAGGCGAGAGAGAAGGCTGTTTACAGTTAAGTTCCACAAAAGTGGTGATAGCGTCCCCACCTTGGGGGCATCCTCTCACGTCTCACTACTGTGCACCTTAGTATGTTTTAGATGAAGAAGTAATTAAAAAATAAAAGATGGACGATGAGGTGAAAAGGACGAGAATAGAAGTCATCTGGTCTGTCACTGAAACAGTTTTACTAATTAGTGTGCATAGTGAACATTAGAAATCAAATATTGAGGGGCTGTGAAGTGGAATGAATATTTGAATGAAACGCGAAAATTTTGGGGAGATTATACAGTTTCTGAAACACTTGTGTGGCTGCTGATGAAAAACAATAATGGTAAAACTAAATTTTTTCGATGGCAAGGTCGCCTTCATCAAATTACGTACCTATTTCATACCAATAAAGGTATCTCCTCGTGTATTGCAAGAAACTTTGGACATTAGAAGACCTGGGGGCAGTTTTGGGAACTGTTCCCTAAAAATGTGTCGTAGTGAACCCCTGGGTATGCTGTTTCTGTAGAGATCCCATATCTTACACATTATGAAGAAGCAGATTTTGTAAATCTGAAATTTATTTCATTCAAGGCTGTAGACTGTTTTCAAAACCATACGTTAGGGAATTGCACTGTGTTTTCTAAACAAAGCGCCTTTTCAAATAAAGATAACACAAAAGGGGTTAATTGCAAATTCATACACAAATCAAATGTTAATTACTAAAGAAAAAAAATCAATATAAAATAGTACAAAACCCACTAACAGCATTGACCTGCACATACGCTGCAAATCTGTTTGTGAGGGCACAATATCGTCTGAATGACATTTAATTCCACATATCACGGAGAAGAGGCACCCTTGATTAAAATCGGGGATCTATGAGTTAACAATAGAGAAACTCCTTCCCCTATACCGGTCCTGCTCGTTGCAGGTCCGTCTAATCAAGAACCTTCTTTGTCAATCGAAGTATTTGTGATTGATTGAAACTAAAATTGCTTTACTTACAGAAAAAAAAACATGCACCTTGGGGATAGAAACGCCAGTTATTTAAAATGTATGCAATCTCGCAATCAATTGAGAAACACGCACTTCTCAAATTAATTAAGAGTTTACCTCAAACGACTTTCTGAAAGTAATAAAGCTATCAAGTTTACTCACGCCAGATTATTTACAACTTAATGGGAAAGGTTTCCAAAAGTGAGCCTTGTCTTCTTTTAATAAGATTTGTATAACGTCCTCTTAATTTCAAAGTGCACAGAGCAATAAATCGGGCTATAAAATTATTATATGTAGGACTTAATCAGGGCGCAAATATTTTCTCTGATGGTGTGTTTAATGTTTTGTTTATTTAATACAACCCTCACAATTGAACACAATAATAAAATATAATGGAGAGGCATAAAATCGAAATTAGTTAACATTAGAAGTTGACGCGGAGAAACAAAGCTTCGTGGGTATCAGAATTATTTTGAACGTTAGAAGCTTTGAAAAACTCATAAAAGGGGTTTAATCAGTGTAATGCGTGAAGCTGGATATAAACTCGTAATTGGAAAGCTTTATCAAGTCTATGCAAATGTTATGGCCTATTTAAATCGTGCGCAACCCTTTGCGTCTTTAAATGATGTAACCATTTTTCCGGTGGCGCGCTGATTGAAAGAGTGCGATTAACCCATTAATGCCGTAACGCAATTTCGTATGTGCGCGATACCAATTTATCATAATTCTGTTATGATAGTAGTTAGTCTAAGAAGTCTTGGTACTAAAATAAGAAGATTTTGTGTAATATTAGACTGACTAGATACGACATCGCGTCACACAACTTAATACGTGCATTAATATGTCACCAGAGACGCGAAATCAATTTATTTCCACCTTTCATACTGAAATCGTATTATCATTTCAGATTATGGTATGAATTTATCATGCAAATGAATGCATATGACGTCTGTTTGGATAAGATTGTGGAGAGACGTACATGTATACATAAATTTCAGTTTGAGGGTTCTAAGAGGAATTATTTGATTGTGTATGCGTTTTGGGAAATATTCAAATCTAATTCTTCCTTACTGAATTACAAATTCTTGCATTCAAATGCGTCTGTGCGTAATTGCTTTTAACAATTCAAAATTAGAACGTGTGTAGGGGGATTTAGGCTGTAGCGGTATTCTTAAAGACTCATTTTGAGAACGCTTTCTTAATTGCACCAGTACAAGCAGCTAGCATTCGCTCATAATTTACATACATTTAGCCAAAGAAGTTGTTCCTTTGCTTCGAGCTGCTTTAAGGAAAATAGTGTAAACTGTAAAGCATCGAAGTAATTTGTACCATATTCCATATTAAGTAGTAATTGTCTCATTGGGGATCTAACTAACATTACGTTTAAGTAATTATTCATTATGTGTCAGTAGTATCCATTTCACGAAAGTTACAAACTCTATGCACTATACTTACATGAAATGTAAGGGCGGCAAAGTATATATAAGGCAGAACCATCAATTAGCAGTCCCATTCAGTAATGCTTTAAAGTGCAATGAAGGCCCAACTAGCATCATTAGGAGACGACATGAGGACTGAAACTAGATATTTGCAAGTGAAGCAAGGATATGCAAGCATGTCTTCAGTAACTAACTTACATAGTTTTCGAAATCTTCAATGGAATCGTAGATACTCCCAATGCTATCCATAGCCGATCACATTGGGCATGGGCAAAATAAAATTTTTAAACTGGCGCTAGATTTTCCTTTATTCCAAGCACCTATGTATCAAATTTCATTTAAATGCTTCCATAAATAAAAAAGTTGACACTGCGCATGCGCAAAACCAAATTTTGAAACTGGCGTTAGATTTTCCTTTATTCCAAGTGCCTATGTATCAAATTTCGTTTAAATTCTTCCATAAATAAAAAGTTGGCACTGCGCATGCGCAAAACCAAATTTTGAAATTGGCGTTTGATTTTCCTTTATCCCAAGTGCCTATGTATCAAATTTCGTTAAAATTCTTCCATAAATAAAAAAGTTGGCACTGCGCATGCGCAAAACCAAATTTTGAAATTGGCGTTTGATTTTCCTTTATTCCAAGTGCCTATGTATCAAATTTCATTCAAATACTTTTATAAGAAAAAAAGTTTGCAATTCGGTTTATAAATGGTCGAGATGCGAAAAGGGCACTGTGAATTTTGAATCGATTCGACTCATCTTTTGGCATTGCGTATTATATGGCTAAGGCTATGCCCATATTGAATTTCATGCAATTCAGTTCATAACTAACGGAGATGTAAAAGCGATCGGACAGACAGGCAAAGGAACAGACGGACAGACCAACAGACAGACGACAGACAACAATACAAAATTATAAATGATCTCTAGGATGGTTAATAAACGGCAAAAGTGTATAAAATTATGGAACATGTAAAAAACGGTTTGTTGGTTTTTTTACAATA